CCAATGCTCCCTGGTTGCAAGTCTCCTGGGGACCTTAGCGGTTAGGACATGCACGCCTAAGGGAAGTAAGGTTTGGTTGTGTCTTTGTTGCTGTTGTTGAAATTTACATAAATTGAATGATAACAGCTAACTATCCTTTTAGATTCAGCATTTTTCTCTCAATGTTTGTAAATGTAGTTATTTTTGCGATGTAGTGTATATTATACAGTATAGTTATTTTATTATGTGAACTCACCACAAGTTATCCATTCTACTGTTTGGGGCCATCCTATATAATAACAGCCCAGTGACCGAAACAGCGGAATGACCTTTATGATCAGTATGACCAGAACGACCACGGCCCCTTGCCCCTGCTGGCTCCACCCCCAGCAGGGACCCCCACCTGTGCATCAGGCCTCTATCCTATATAATAAAAAGCTAATATGCAAATTGACCAAAAGGTGGAATGACTGGTCACTATGATGTGCACTGCCCCCTGGTGGTTAGTGCGCTCCCACAGGGGAGCACCGCTCAGCCAGAAGCTGGGCTCATGGCTGGCAAGCGCAGTGGCAGTGGCGAGACCCTCTCTTGCCTTGCAGCAGCGCTAAGGATGTCCAACTGTCAGCTTAGGCGCATTCCCCGTGGGAAGTGGGCCTAAGCCATCAGTTGGACATCCCCCGAGGGCTCCTAGACTGCGAGAGGGCGCAGGCTAGGCTGAAGCCCCCTCCCCCCCAAAAGCACAAATTTTGTGCACCGAGCCTCTAGTTATAAATAATGCTGATATGGACATTCCTTCATATGTTGCTTGATAAACATTGCACATATTTCTAATGGACATGGATGTGTGTGTGTATGTATGTGTGTACGTATGAGTGGAATTGCCAGGTTATGAGGTATGTGTTTTTTTAAACTTTACACCACCACCAGAGAAATGTGAGAGTTCCCATTGCTTTGTGTCTGCATCACACAATTGTTTTAGCCCATCTACTTGTTGTGTAGTGTTACTGCAATGGTTTTAATTTCCATTTCTCTGATTACTGATGAAGTTGAGCATCATTTGCATATATTTATTGGTTATTATTTTTTAGTATGTTTTTTATTGATTTCAGAGAGGAAGGGAGAGGGAGAGAGATAGAAACATCAATAATAAGAATCACCCATCAGCTGCCTCCTGCATGCCCCCTACTGAGGATCAAGCTTGCAATTTGCATGTGCCCTGACTGGGAATTAAACCATGACCTCCTGGTTCTTGAGTCAGCACTCAACGACTGAGCCACACTGGCCAGGTTATTGGCCATTCTTTCATAAAATTGCTGGTTCAAGTGTCTGTTTTTATATTGTGCTATCATTTTTTTGCTGATTTATAAGTGTTCTTTCCATATCCTGGATTTGAGCTAATCATGGAACTATATGTATTACAGATCTTCTCTCCCCTTGGTTGTTTGCTTTTTCGCCATCCTAAAAGTCTTTGTTGAATCTCAAAAATTCTGAATTTTAATGTTAACAACCTGACCAAACTTTTTTTAAATATATTTTTTATTTATTTTAGAGAGGAAGGGAGAGGATAGAGAGATAGAAAAATCAATGATAAGAGAGAATCATTGATTGGCTGCCTCCTGCATGTCCCTAGGGGATGAGCAAGCCCACAACCCGAGCATGTGCCATTGGCAGGAATCAACCCTGGGACCCTTTAGTTTGGCTCTGTCCACTGAGCCAAACCAACGAGGGCCAAACTTGTTCCTTATAATTAATGCTTTTGTGTCCTCTCTAGGAATTACTTCCCTGCCCTGAAATGATATAGTCCCTTATGTATAGATTTACTATTTTTCCTTTTTTCATTTAAATCCAGAATTGAATTTTTGGTATGCTTTGAAGGAGGGTTTAATTTTCATTTATTTCTATGTGGATAACCAATTGTCCTACCACTATTTATTAAAAAGATGATCCTTTCCCCACTACTTGGTGGTTCCATATTTGTTGTAAATTAAGTATCTATATGCACAGATTAATTTGTGGGCTTTCTATTCTATTGGTCTGTTTTACATTGTTGTTTTTTGTCATTGTCTTAAATAATATAGCTTTATAATAAATTTTGATACTAGAGCAGGCCCCCTGTCTTGTATATTATTTTTATTGTGGTAAGAATATTTTAACATATGTCATTTAACAAATGCTTAAGTGTGTTATGCAGTCTTGTTAACTAGAGGTACTATGTTGTATAGCAGATCTCTGGAACTTACTCATCTTGCATAATTGGAACTTCATACCCATTGAACACAACTTTCATTTCTCCCTCCACCCAACGCTTGGCAGCCATCATTCTACTCTCTGCTTCTATTGAGTGTGACTGTTTTAGAGACCTCAGATAAGTGGAATCATGCAGTAAATGCCTATGACTGGCTTGTTGCACTTAATATAATATCCTCTAGGCTCATCCACGTTGTCACAGACAGCTGAATAATATTCCATTTTATATATATTCCACATATATTTTAGAATTAGCTTATGAGTTCCACAAAGAAATCTGTTGAAATTTTTATTGTGATTACCTTTGATCTATAGAGCAATTTCGAGACGATGTTATAAAATTGGGCCTTTTCATATATTAACACAGTATACCTACGAAACACTTTTAAATTTCTCTCAGTAATGTTTGTAGTTTTCCGTAGAGCGGCCTTGCGTATCATTTATTTACTCCTAAGTATTTTGTATTTCATGCTCTAATAAACCCTATTTTAAGATAAATTTTATTTTCAAAGTTGTTGGTGGCATTCAGCAATGTAGAGATGTAAATTTTTACCTTTGCAGGCCACCATTACTCATCTGTGGATTAGTTCAGATTTCGTGTGTGCATAGTTACATAATCTGCCCATAGGACTGCTTAACCTCCTCTTCCAGATCATTACACCTTTCATTTCGTTTTATTGTTTTTAGCGAGGCTAGGCCTCCACTGGAGGGGATCTCCACTGCAGTGTTACTAGAAGTGGTAATAGTTGACATCATTGTCACATCCCCAATTTCAAAGGGAAAAAGTTAAAAAAAATTTCTATTAACTATGATGTTAGAGATTGTTAGATTTGGTTTGCTAACTGTTTAGTTAGGGTTTTGAATCTATGTTCATGAATGAGAAAATCCTGTAACTTTTTATAATGTCCTTGTCTGATTTTTGTTTGATGGTTTTGCTAGATTTTTAAAGGAAGCTAGGGAGTGTTTCTTCTTTCCTACTTCTGTCTAGAAAAATGTGGGTAAGTTTAGCATTATTAATTAGAATTCACTGGTGAAGCCATATAGCTAGATTTTAGTTTTGTTTTTAGTTTTGTTTTTTTGTGTGTGTTTTTTTTAAGTTTTTAATTGCAAATTAAACTTTTCCAGTAACACTGTTTACTCTGTTTCTTCTTGTGTCAATTTTCTTTATCATTTTCTATGAATATGTCTATTTCACCAAAATTCCCAATTTAACCCTAACTGGTTTGGCTCAGTGGATAGAGTGTTGGCTTGTGGACTCAAGGGCCCCAGGTTCGATTCCCATTAAGGGCATGTACCTTGGTTGTGGGCACATCCCCAGTAGGAGGTGTGCAGGAGGCAGCTGATTGATGATTCTAATCTCTATCCCTCTCCTTTCCTCTCTGTAAAATATCAATAATATATATATATATATATTTTTTTTTAATATATTTATTTTTTAATATATTTTTTTAAATTTTCAATTTATTGGAAGAGAGTCTTCATACTATCCTTTTGCCTTTTTATGGTCTACAGGCTATGTAGTGATGTCTCCTTTCTTATTACTGATATTTGGCATTTGTACCTTCCTTTTTTCTTAATTAAACTCTCCAACATTTACCTATTTTTATTAATGTTTTTAAGTAACTTATTTTCATTATCATTTCATTACCTATGGGTTATTTAAAAATGTTTCCTTAATTTCCAGTGATGTAGGAATTTTTTCTTTACAAGAAGATAGCTTAGATTTCTAAATTAAAAAACATTTTGAAGATTTCCATTATTTGAAATTCATCGTTAATTTGCTTTTATTTTTGTAAATACTTATAAAAATTCCACTGTGAGCTTGAGAAAAATGTATATTCTGTAAGGTATGGTGTTCTATGTATTACCATTAAATCAATTTTCTTATTGTGATATTCAAATCTCCTACTTTCTTTTACTATGTTTATTTCTCTGTGTGCTGTCAGTTATTGAAACAAGTGTACATACTGAGTCTATACTGGTGTGAATTTGTTTCTCTAGTTCTGGCAGTTTTTGCTTTATGTGTTTTGACCCTATCTTATTAGTGCATGTAAATTTGGAATTACTTTATCTTTCTTGTAAGGATTATTATTGAGTGTAAGGATTATTACTGTATCATTATTGACTGTATCTCTTCATCTCTAAATAATGGTTATTGCCTTAAAACCAAATTTGACTAATGTAGCTATGTCAATTTTCCTTTGGTTATTATTTGCATAGTTAATTTTTCCATCTTTTTTTTCCCCAACTTTCTGTATTTCTGTGTTTTACCTGTTGATTTATAAATAGAATATTGTTTTATCTTATTTATTTAATGAAAGTGTGCTAATCATTGTCTTTAAAGACATTGTTAAAACGTTTACATTTAATGTAATTGAGTCTAAATCAGTGTCAGTCTTTCAAGGTCAATAAGTCATTAAACAACACAATTTTTTATATTATGAAAATAGACAGTTTATTAATGTCTGTGAGTTTAAGAAATTTAACTTCTCTGATTTGTATGTAAATATCCATGGATTTATAAAACCTCATCTATCATTTCTTTGACTGCTATATAATGAAAAGAGATGCAGAGACTAAAATATGCTCCGAACAACATTTCTAGTCTAGTGTTTGCATTAGATCTTGCATTTCAAAGGAAAGTATAAGGAAATTTTATCTTTAAAATTTCATCTTTATTGTGATTTACTTGCCTAATTCCACTAAACATGCATTAACAAATTAATATATTTTTTTTTTACAAAGTACTATAAAGATTTCGCTTTTGATTACAGGGCTGTGACTCCCAAATGAGTGTGTCCGAAGTGTCCTGTAGTAGAAGCACATCCTCCTGTCAGTCTCTTGAGCATGGCTCAGTTCCAGAAATCCTCATTGGCCTGCTTTATAACGCCACCACTGGCAGACTATCAGCAGAAGTCATCAAAGGCAGCCACTTCAAAAACTTGGCAGCAAACAGACCACCCAGTGAGTGGAAAATGTTTGTTTTTTCTAATTCTAATGTTTTCTGCACTTATGGGAATCTCAGTGTTAGGAGCTTTTAGTCCTACCATTTAGTCTTAACTGATCAAAATGAAATGGTGTAATAACCATCAGCTAATCTGCTTCGTGATTTCTATTTCCAGTCATTTGTGGAGTAGAAAAATTTCAAATGCAACTTATGGATTGTAAGGTGTCGAGACTTTATTTTTCTAATGTCAGTGGAATAAATTTTCCCCGTTATAGCCATTATCTTCCAATGCCAGAAAAGGTTACAGGGTCTTTTTAAGTTAACAATATTCCGCCAAGATAATCAGAAATATGGGTAGTTATTGCTGTTACCTGAAGATTGATGCTGTGTGATCTGTCTGCATGCAGAACTAGACACTTTTCTCCCTTAACAATTTAAGAAGAAACTGTGTTGTTTTTTTCTTCATATTTTTCTTCTTTAACATTATAAGTCAGTACTGTCACCAGAGTCTTTTCTTAAATGGAATGTGCTTTGGTTTTACCAGGACCAGTAGAGTAAGGAATATTTTTGTATTTACCCCAAATGCTAGGAAGGGAAACTAGATAGTATGCCTCTGCCCTGTCTCTATGCCTCTCACTCTTCCAACTCCTAATTTCTCTCCCAGGTCAAGGTAAGTTTATGGAAGAACAGAGGAATGCCCAAAACTATTTGTTGAAATCTATGGACACAAACTTGGAATAGCAGCTTTTTTGTACTTCTCTAAATTAAAGCTGTTTAATGCCCCAAACTAAAAATTTGGAAATTTTGAATAATAATGGTCACTTTAAATTTGTTTAAATATTTCTTTCAGACTTGCTTAAAGCAATCTCCTACTCTAATTATCAAATAGTTCTTGAAGGAGGAAGAAACTTTTCTACCCTTGAATTAGCTTTTTTTTTTTTTTTTCAATCAAACTGAAAAGTCATAAATACATATCTGATTTGCTCTAAGTTGTCTTGGAAACCTGGCTTCTTATATACATCCCTGAAATAAAAGTCAGAAGGCCAAAGTTATGGTCATATTTCTACCTTGGACAAGTGCCCTGACTCCCCTTAAGTCTGTTTCCTTATACATAAAATTAAGGTTGCGTTTCTCACAGGGTAACTGTGAGACTCAAACAGATAAAGGTGCATAAAAGAAGGATGGATTATTGTCCCCTTCCTCTTTTCAGAACGAAAATTTCAGAGGGTATAAAGAAACAGTTATTAGAATAAACAGCTACTTGGTTTTCTTCATTAATACACACTTAGAATGCAAACTCTAATGGCCTGGGAAGTAACTCACATGAGCAGAGGTTGTGGATGAAAGATAAGGAGCATGGTGAGGCCCGTGACAAACGGGAGAGTGTACACACTCTGAATTAGACATTCAGATGGGAAGTTTTTGTTAGCACCACAACAGATAAGATACTTTTGGGGTTCCGTTTAGTCACACGTTATGTTTGCCCTTAATTCTTGCTTTAGCTAATAGTCTAATTTTTTGACAAATATTTAACTTGAGATGCTAAAAAATAGCAGAATGAAGTGATGTTTGCCTTTCTGTCCTTGTTCTACCCACTTTAATAGAAACAGAAAATCACTAATCAGACTCAAAATGAAGGGAGCAGAGTAGAAGAGGTTAAGAGATTAGCATCCACAATATAAGGCAGATCTTTCCGGTTTTAAAGAGTAAGTTAAATCAATTTCATTACTTTAGAGTTAGATCTTCAGTATCAGGATGTTTAGCTGAATTGAATATAAGTCAACATTAAAATTAGTTATACAGGGTAAAATATAAAATAATGAAGTGAAATATAAGACAGATTTGTCAGTTCATCTTATTCTATATATATTATATAAAATTGTGACCCTTCACATCTACCTAGGTACTAAGCTTTGAACTGTGTTATAAACTGAATAATCCAATTTTTAACCAAAGAACACAATAACAGTATTCAAGGGGAAAATTTATTTGGTAATTCTATTTTACTTTCCATCACTTAATTTTATATTACATCAAGAGTAATGAAAGTATTTGAAATATTAAGTATTGCATGGATAAACTTAAACATTTAGGATAATAATAACAGTGATCTTATAACAACTTTTATTCAGTCTTTTATAGCCTGATAATTTGCATGCTTCTATGTTCAATGTGCTTTAGTCCAAGAGGATATCATTATAAAGATGTCCCCCTTTAGAAAACACTGTAATTTTTGTTTCAGATTACACAATGACCTTAACAATTCTCATTTCATGAGTTTTGCCCAATGGCCCTTTTGTTCAGCCCTCTACCTGAATTAAAATGCTAAACTTTTGTGTTCTTCCACTCCAGTGAACAGTGTTTCCTCTTTAATTCTAACCTTTGACCCTCTTTCACCCAACAATTGACATCTGGTCATTATTTCTTTTACTGCTTTCCACCCCCTGTTGTCAGATGGACTGTTCTGTTGTCTAAAACACTTGATAGGTGGACAGGTTTATATAATCCGAGGTGAGTTCCTGTAGAGGCTAATTGGATGTTGTCTTTTCATGCAAAAAAAAAAAATTTTACCCTAAAACTTGCCAGCAGTGAAGCTGTCCACCATGTTGGTTTCAAAATATGCACATTTATTATCTGTGGTACTTTAAGTAAAACTAACTTAGAATTTATCTCTGATTATGGATGATGGTATTCAGAGTATAAAGTAAGCAAAACTTTTTAAATTAAAGGCTTTTTTTTCATTCATTGTATTTTGACTCATACAACAGAAATATAGTTACTTCATCAGAAATAACTGCAATTTTCACTAAAATTAATTGAAATTTTGATAAGAAGTACACATGATGGATCAACATGCTGAAGGTCATCTGCATGAATCAAATGACCTTGAAAACACAGTTGTTTGAAGAGAGGGCTTATCTCCCAAATAATCAGGCAATGGACTGTTACTTTCACTCTGTACACTAAACATCACATCCATTTTATTTTCTAATTCATGAACATAGTTCAGATTCATTCTTACAATTGGATGTTGAATTGTGTCAAAAAAAAAAAAAAAAAAAGGAACCCTGTAGTATCTATTTTGACTCCCCAGAAAGCACATTAAATGTACTCTTGCATGAAACCAGGAGAAAGTTTTACTTGACTTGCTGATGAGCCCTTAATGCATTTGGCTTCGTTTTCGGCTCTTCGATAGTTTTAAAGTGTAATTAAAAACCACATCCATGCAGAGATTTTTTTGACATTTCATCCTAAGCTGTTTTGATGTCATCCTTGCATTCCTGTCTTCCTCTTTTCCTCTTTATCATTTGCCTTCATGTCTATTTGTTTGTTTATCCTTATTCTCTGAAAACACAGTGGAATGCTTTACAGTGTTGTGGCTAATTGAGCTTGCTAAGTGTTTATTAATGCTATGATGTCCTGCTTAGTGAAGCTAAATGGGATGGGATGGGGGGGGGGGCGGTCCTGGGTGGTCATGGGCGGTCAAGGAATGACTGGGAGGGCAGGGGAAGGATTATGAGGTATACCTTTAAATTCTAACTCTAAGTTAGAACTAGTAAGGTTAAGATATGAGTATCCCCAAGAGATTTTCTGCCTCCTTAGCATTCTCTGTACCTGTCACATATTATAAGCATCTACATCAAAATGGAATTAGTTGAATTTCCATTAAACATGGTATACACCATATCCTTATAAAGCACAAGTCATTTTCTCAGCACATGTTACAAGAATTTTTTTTTTTTTTTAGTTTTTCTCAAATGATATTTGTGGTATGTTGTTCTGTGTTTTTGTGTTTGTTTTTCTACAGATACATATGTTAAATTAACTCTCCTCAATTCCATGGGTCAAGAAATGTCTAAATGCAAGACATCCATCCGCAGAGGGCAGCCAAACCCGGTGTACAAGGAGACGTTTGTCTTTCAAGTGGCCCTGTTTCAGCTCTCTGACGTGACCCTTATCCTGTCCGTGTATAACAAGCGCAGCATGAAAAGGAAAGAGATGATAGGCTGGATTTCTCTAGGTCTGAACAGCTCTGGGGAGGAGGAACTCAATCACTGGACCGAAATGAAAGAGTCGAAAGGACAGCAAGTGTGCAGGTGGCACGCGTTACTGGAGTCGTGAGGAGGACAAGCATTGGCAACCCCAGGCAGCGGTGCTTCCAGCGACGACGCTGCTGGTTTTCACCTGGCCATCGTTACGAGAGTGATTCTTTGAAGGATCGCCTTCAGCGTTCTACCAAAACGTTTTTAGTTCTGTGGGAAGACCATCTAATTCTGACATGAATGCAGACAGGTTGTATGTCTGGCAGAGCTATTATAGTTTGGGACAATGAACTCTATCATCATCGTTAAGCTACTGATCCTCCAGAGCTTTGGTTGAAGTGAATTTTTTTTTCTTTAGCAAAAGAGCCACTCATTTCCTGAAAAGTCAAAATCGTCAGTGATTTTTTTTAAGATTAGAATTTTTAGCTGCAACACAGTTTTAGTATCACTCTCCATATTACCCAGAAAGCATATTTTGACTGGCCCGTTCCTGCTGTTTGGAATGTGTTTTGATAAGAGAAAGTAGTTCTCCAACTTTATGATAAGGCATATCTGATGTTGAAGGGTTTCAATCGCATTGGAAATTGTTTTTCTTTCAGATATTTTCCCTTTATGCACAGAGCTTCATTGTACCTGAGTTCTCAGTAGCACTAAATCTGAGTGCAAGATTTCATTGTCATAAAGGCACTTTTAATGTTATTTTCAAAACTCATTTCTTCACTTGCCTCTGCTTTTGCCCGATCCAAAGAGACCCAGTCACTGCAAGTCCTGTAGACAGGTTGTACTGTAGACCTCTGTAGCTTTCTGTTGAAAGCACTTCCTGTATTCTCGTATTCCAATGTAGGAAGCTCATAGAACAGGACCTTACTTTAAAACTCCTTTCAATGATTGACTCTTTAAAATTGTTGTACTGTGCAAATACATTTTTTTACAAACTAAAAACTATGGTGTGAGCTGTTGAAAACTGCGAATAACTTAAGCTAAAGAACATTTTAATGACCCGCTCTGAGTGTTTAGTAGCGAGCACTGCAAAAAGCAAGGTAGCATTCACATAAGAAGCTGTCCTCTCTAAATCTTCTGCTCTCCCACTGCAATTTGTTATTTCTGATATAAAGACTCTCCGCTTCTCGGTTTGAACCAGAACAAAAAGGTTCCTGGATTCCTTATGAAGTTCCTAGTGACTTGTGACTAGATTTTATGAAATTTACGGATACGTTCTTCAACGTGATGTCATCCTGTGCCTTTCGTGTAAGTTAATTTTGCTCATACAGCTCGAAAGTTGTATTTGCAAAGTTAGGCCTTCAATTTTTATAAATGAAAGATTCCTCAGAACAGTGTCACAAGCTCTCTGTTTCCTCCTAAAGTGTGTGAAAGTTGTAAAATGTGTTTTGTTTTGTTTTTTAACTCGCAAGGCATTTTCATTTGTTTTTATATTTAGGAACACTGATTAATCAGGAATACTCTAAGCTGTTTTCTCTTTAATTTTGCTTCTTAACCAATATATAATTTTGTGCATACACTTTATTAAATATAATAGAATGTTTTGTATATATGAACAATATTTTTCTCTTTCTGATTTTTAGTTAAACTAGATGAAAGCAAAATATTTGCCAATTATTAAGCAAGTATGTCATTGCTCCTAGTCCCAACTAAGCACTATATACATTATTTTAAGCGAGGGCTTGTTATTATCACAGTAACAAAACCATGCGTACATATTATTGTCTCAACGTGGCTATCCTGAAAGGCCTTAAGTCCAAAAACTACCAACAACGATAGATTCCTGGCATATTTTAGTTTAAAAATGGCAGCTCTATGCATTCATGCACATGAATTATAAGATAAAATGCAAATGCTACATGACATGAGTTTTAAGACTGTCTATTATAGAGTTGCATTAAAGGGGGAAATCCATTCTTTTGTTGTTATATTATTCAGCTTTTCCCAGGGTTTTTTGTTTTGTTTTGTTTTTTTGTAATTGAGTTAGGTTATAAAGTTAGAACATGGCATGATATTGCATGTAACAGTATGGAAAGGGTTTTAAGGGTGAGAAGGGATATAGGTTTTACTGAGAAATTAGATTTAGGCATTTGATGCCAGAGGTATCTGTCCTGGCTGTGAGACAGCTGCCTCATTGCTAACACCTGGGATCTTCCTAATAAAAAGAGACTCGGTCTTATGTGTAGCTGTAACAAAGCCTAATCACACATGTTCTAAAACCAGCTCGGTGCTTTTTCCTTCAGTGAGGAAAGACCTCACTAGCTGTTCCTTGTTCAATCTGTCCTCCTTCAGCCTATGCCCAGAATGGCGTGTGTGCTCTGATGTATCCTTAGGGATTTGCCTGGGACAAGTATCAAATCCAATGTGGCCTAAAAAATAATTAACAATTTTAAAAACTTTCAACGAGGACCCTGTCTCCATCCCAGCTGCCAAGTCCTCAAAGATTATGGATTATGTGTATGTGTATCTGTATACACACCTGCACACATACATACTATGTGTATTTATACATACACGCATGCATGTATGTAAAGGTGAAAGTGCCCTGGCTTTTTCAGAAAATGAAATAGAAAAACATTTGTCAAGTTGATGGGTTCTTTTTCTCCTCTGTATAGTTACGAGAAATTATATTTGGTTCTGGGTGCTATTTGCTGCCATTCTCCTCCACACACAGCAAAACACACTGAGTGGCCAGGTTATTATGATCTCTGAACATGTAATAATCTGGCCACTCTGTGTATATCCTCCTGTATAATAAAAGGCTAATATGCAAATTGTCCCCTTGACCAGGAGTTCAACCAGCAGGCAGGCTGGCCAATCACCTTCAACGTCCCTTCCTCTTGGCCAGACTGGCTGGACCCCACCCATGCGTGAATTCATGCACCAGGCCTCCATATATATATATATATATATATAATCATTGAGTGGCCAGATTATTATGCGTTCAGAGATCATAATAATCTGGCTACTAGGTGTATGTATCTTTTTTCCTCTGGACTGACACAAGTTAGAGTAATTACTTCCAAAAGTTGGTCTATTCCTTTAAAAAAGGATTACATATGGCTCAAGAAACCCCCTTCACTCTACTGAACCTGCTCTACGAGGCAGTCCTACTGCTCTTTTGTGTGCTTAAATTTGCATGAAGGCAAAGTCTTATATCTCAGCAATTAGAGCAAATAGGGGCCCACTGGTTGTCTCAGAAACTCGAGGAAGGCAACGCACTTTCTTATTGTTCTCTTAAAATCCCCCAAGTTTTATAATAACACAAGATAATCCAAATATGGCAATTGACTGGCACTCATATAATTTCCTGAGCCTGGAATTACAGACTTTTTGTCTCCCAAATGAGCTGCAAAAAGTTATTTATTACTGCCCGGGAAACCAAGTGTATTTCAAACCAGTAAAGAATTTTAGTATATTATCCCTGTATCTTTCAGAAACTTCCTTCTGGAGTCTTGTGTCTTCTGCACTATCCACGTTTTGTGTAAAATCCATTTGTATATTTTCTTACTATGCATCCAGTGAATTCTCAATAATGTGGTATTTACTAGTGATAAAAATAACAATTTGGACTGCAATTTAAAAAAAAGAAACACCAATGAGAAAATATCTAAACTGCCCTGATTAATATACAATACATATGTCGAAGTGTAGGGCCTGGTAAGGCATAGTCATCCACATGTTAAATCATTTTCTTGATAGCATCATCATTTTCATTTCATTTTTCAGTCTAATAAAAAGCATAATCAGGGAATGCAAAGTAAGAGAGCACCAGGAGGGGAAGAAGTCATAGGATTATGGGTATTCTTCAAGATGAAGTTGGAGACCAAATGACAGCATAGTTTTTCCAGTGAACTGAGAGAGAGGCTATTTGAAGGTATAAATTTTAGGTGGATTAAGAATACTAGTCACCAACACATTTTGTTGAAGATCTTTATCCATATAGGAAGAAATGACACAAATCCATGCGCATAAAATTGCCACTTTCCTACACAGACTACATAGTCAATTCATAAAGATTTTTCTCATTGATAGTCACATTATTTCACATTGATAATTATTATTCACTTCCCCCCCCCCCCATTCGCTGTCCCCAGTTCATCCATGGCCAACCCTGGAGGGAGCCATCAGTCTCACCCATCACCGATCAAACTCCATACTGAGCACAAAGTGGAACATGCTATCAAGCATTTTTTAATTATCTTTAAAACATCATCTATGTCCACCAAAATACATAATAATCATACTGGTAACGGCTATAATTTTCTAGGATCTAGCACAATAAGTTATTTTTTTTTAATATATTTTTATTGATTTTACACAGAGAGGAATTGAGAGGGACAGAGAGTTAGAAACGTCGATGAGAGAGAAACATCGACCAGCTGCCTCTTGCACACCCCCCACTGGGGATGTGCCCGCAACCAAGGTACATGCCCTTGACCAGAATCGAACCCGGGACCTTTCAGTCCGCAGGCCGACGCTCTATCCACTGAGCCAAACCGGTCCCAGCACAATAAGTTATTTTGTTTGAGTCTCACAACAGTAGGAGATAAGTAATATTACCCTTTTATAGATGAAGAAACTGCAGCATAGAGGTTAAACAGACCTTCCCAAAGTCATTCAATAAGCAGAACTAGAGTTAGAACCCCACCATAAATTTCTCTAGACCCATCCTATGCATCTCGCAGCTGCAGCCCCCTTTACTAGCTACAAGAAAAAATAGGACAACATTATGTTCATCAATAACCCTACCCACCTCAGGTGAATGGCAGAACTAGGGAAAAAGGAAAGAAAAAAAGACACAGAGCTTGGGAAAGGAAAGCAAAACAAATGGTACTTGTGCGGCCTATTTGTAGTTGATTTTCAAAGTCGTGGGGGTTTAATTTACATTGCAAGTTTAGCTTACATTTACATTCTGAAACTGTATTCATCAATGTCTTCTACTCATTGCATACTTTTGGCAATCCAAGGTAGCTGAATTATGTCTGAGCACCTTTCTGCCCTGTGAAGTGGAAAGGGATAGCCTGTATTCATCGCCCAGTGTCAATGGTGAGAGGAGAGACTCTTGTGCTCTCGTTGCGATTTACTTGTGTTTCTCCTGTACCCTTCATTGTGGTTTAACTGGACCGCAGCTAATTTTATTGCACATGTTCCTCTTTTCCCCTTGACAGTAGTTAGTGTCTTGTCTTGATATCTTTATGTGGCCCTTACTCACACAGGCACATGGTAAATATTGGGTTGAACTGAATTCCCTGGAGAAGAAATAAGGCTACGACCATGGAGTGCAAAGGAAGAAAAAAGGGCCCACCCTCTTCTTTATTCTTCTGATTGCTGTTTGATATTTGGGCTTGTCTTTTAAATATTCAGGACTACTCTGAAAGGGGGGGGGGGGAATCCCTTTCTGTGTATTCCCTTTCACGTGTGATCACTCACCTGACACTGATTGTTTAAACTGAATACCCAATGGATGAAATACAATACTCCATTATACGCTGGGAAAAAATTAATTTTCTGAAATGTGTTTATATCTGCAGATATGGCTAGAATGCCTCTTTCCCTAGATCTAAGCAGTTCATGTTGAAGATGACTATTTTGTGGAATGAGAACATAGGAATCTTCCCTTATCCCTGAGATCTGTTTCTCTTGCCTCTCACATCTGGCCATGAACTTCTTCCCAACGCTTCCTTTGTCAGGGTCTGAGTGTGCTCATCTCCAGGTGGTGTTTTCTTATACCTTCAGGGGAGGGTCTCACCAGTAAATCCCGTCCAAAACCCCATTAACGCTGGTGAAAGAAATCCATAAGCACCAACAGGAAGAAAGAATCCGGAAGTGTAAAGAACTAGGACCTCAGAGCCCTGGTGTAGGGTGGCAGCTTTAGCGCCTAAATGTGGCTTCAGTCCTAATGCAGGGGAAGCCAGGTTCTAGGAAATGGGAGTTTAAGTCCATATGTCCAACACTGTCTCCTTTTTGTCTTCTCTCCTCCCCCAGTAGCTTGTACATTTCAAAAAATTGTGAGAGAGCCTTAAAACTTGGTTTTCAATATTTCAAATTAACCAGGCAATTTCATAAAAAGAAAACCAAAGTCAATCATAGGAAGCCTTTTGGGGGGAGGGGGAGAAGGCAGGGGGATGGTGGTGGTTTTTGTTTGGGGTAGTCTTTTGGGTAAATATCAGGAATATTTACAACATCCTATAATCATGTCCCATTTGTTCTGTGAGGGAGAGACCAAGGTAGCTTTTGCATATAAATTGGCTCTATTGGTATTTAAGAATGTTTAAACCATTATTTGAAGTACAACTGGAAAATAAAGCAGATACTTCAAATAGTGTTTTGAAATTATAAATATTACTTTAAGTTAACTAAGAAAACTTACAACTCACATTGCAAAATTAATTTATCATTTTCCTGCGTAATTTTATTGAGATGGCTTTTGCTTTTGTAGTGAAAATAATAGAGTGACGACAATTTTGAGGAATCTTTAAAGCTGTCATAGAGTGGCAAACAACCTTTGGATTTTTACTAAAATTTTGAAATAAAGTATATCAATATTCTCAGTTCAGTTAGTCTTTGCTGAAGAACAGTTATTATATGCGTTTTAAGGGTCTTGATAAATGTTGAGTTCTGTTCTTTTTCTAAAACTCATGATGTCCATTACTGTTCACTGCACTGTGTTTTATTTCTTAAAATAACGTAACATGGAAAACTCAATTAGTGGAATCTTTTCATCAATATCCCTACTTTCCTCCCTTCCCTC